GTTGTGGGGCCTGAACTCTGGGCCTGGGCGCTGTCCCTCAGCTCTTCAGCTCAAGGCTAGCGCTCTACCACTTGAGCCACAGTGCCACTTCCGGCTTTTTCTAGTGGTTTATTGGAGATAAGAGTTTCACAGACTTTCCTGCCCAGGCTGGCTCTGAACTGAGATCCTCAGATCTCAGCCTAAGTAGCTAGGATTACAGGCGTGAGCCACTGGCACGCAGCTTAAATGTAACTTTCTGTATACCTTAGGTATATTATCAATGAAGACCCAATAAATGTTTATATTATCTTTACATTTACTGCCTAAAACCATATTTTTAAGATGATGTGGTCTAAATTAGGAAGTTACTTCAACTATTAATTACTAAATTTCCATTCTATACCTATTACAAAGTATTTTCCTCCTAAGAGCCTCAATTTTTTCAACACAGTCATTGTTTAAGTAATGCGTTATAATTCTTACCTCATCATCATCTTCTACAACCACCAATGTTAATTTATTCTTCTTAAAATCCAATCTGGTTATCTTGGGCCTATTATGTAAGATCAGCAGGCAAATTAGGAAAAATACATTCTTTACTTCAAGAATATATATTTCATTATTAACATTTAAACTGAATATTGGTAAGAGGGTAAAGGTAACCTGGATCATTCATCAAAAAAGTCTAGCCCTGGCTCCTACCCATAATAAGGTACTTGAAGGAAAAGAGGACTTTTTTGTTATGCCTCAAACCACTATCTCAAACTTTTTTTTTTTTTTTTGATTAGTCGTGGATCTTGAACTTGAGGCCCAGGTGCTGTCCCTTAAGGAGCTCTTTTGCTCAAAGCTAGCACTACCACTTTCAGCCACAGCTCCTCTTCTGGTTTTGTAGTGGTTAACTGAATAAGAATTTTATAGTTTCCTGAACAGGCTGGTTTTGAATGATGATCCTCAGATCTCAGCCTCCTAAGCAGCTAGGATTACAGGAACCAGTACCTAGCCATCTCAACCATCTTAGTCCCTTTCTCAACAATGAGCTAAACACAATGGCATGTGCTTGTCATTCTAGCTAACGAGAAGCACAACATAGGTGGATCATGCTCAAGCACGTGCTGAACAGGAAGCAAGACATCAAAAATAACCAGCAAAATATAGGGCTGGAGGCATTGCTCAGATCAGCTGAGGAAGCTTGAGGCCTGGAGTTCAAAACCCAGTACCATCAAACAAAACAAAATAGGTCTTTAATTTAAAAAGAAAAGGCAACAGAAAAATAATTATTTCAAAAATAACTCTGACAAACTGATGCTGTACACACATCAGATAATAAAAATATTAAGGGAAAAAATATAGAAATCTATGCATTTCACAGACCCCCAATTGTGGTCTAAGAGATTCTCCAGGCCTATGAAAAATTGTTTTATTGTTAAACAGCACAGGATTTGAATGAGGTAAGACCTAAGAACTCTTTACTAGGTATAAAATAAAATACTAAGCTGGGCTCGGTGGCTCACGTCTGTAATCCTAGCTACTCAGGACACTGAGATCTGAGAGTCGAGGTTCAAAGCCGGCCAACCCCAGGCAGGAAAGACCGTGAGACTCTTATCTTCAGTAAACCATTCAGAAAATTGAAAGTGGCACTGTGGCTCAAGTGGTAGAGCACTAGCCTTGAGCTAAAAAGCTGAGGGACAGTACCTAGGCCCAGAATTCATGCCCCACGACCAACAAAAACTAAAAAATAAAATAAAATACCACTGATGAGAGTCTTCATTAATTGTGATTTTTTAAAAAAATTTACTTGTTATTATAAAGGTGATGTACAGAGGAATTACATTTACATGAGTCAGGTAATAAGTACATTTCCTTTCATTTAATGTCTTCTTTTCCCTCACTCTCTCCCAGTCCCTCCCTCCACCTAAGAGTTATATAGTTCACTTTTATTAATGTCTATTGAGCTCCATCGCTGTACTTTTTCACCTTTCCCTCAAGTTCTATACTTTCCCTCTGACCCTCCAAAGATACACACTTGACTCCATCATAAAGACAGATCATCAAAAAATAAAAAGTAAAATAGATCTTGTTTCCATATCTTTGAGTTCTATTATTTTATATAAATATGAAGAGGCAGATAGGCAATGCACCCTTGTGGAGTATCCTCTTTTGGTCTTACTGTATCTAGGAACCAATGTAGTTCAATTGCAATTTTCTATAGCAATTTTTGAGAAAATAAATTTTTTTTTTCTTTCTTTGCCAGTCCTAAGGCTTGAACTCAGGGCTTGGGCACTGTCCCTGAGTTTCTTTTGCTCAAGGCTAGTACTCTTAACACTTGAACCATAGTGCTACTTCTGGCTTTTTCTATGTGTGGTACTGAGGAATCGAACCCAGGGCTTCATGCACGCTAGACAAGCACTCTACCACTAAGCCACATTCCCAGCCTGAAATAAATCTTTAAAAAGAAATAAGCTAAAAAAAAAAAAAAGAAAGAAGCTCACTTTTAAGCCAGATATACATATATAGATAGATATAGATTAGGAATAGATATATTAGTGCATGCCTATAATTCCAGCACTGAGGCAGGAGCATCAAGAGTTTGGAGAATAACCTGAGCTACACAGAGGGACATTTACTCAAAATTTTTCTTGCCGGGCGCTGGTGTAGCTCATGCTTGTAAAACAGCTACCCAAGAGGCTGGAGATCTGAGTATCACAGTTCAAGGCCAGCCCAGACAGGAAAGTTCATGAAACTTATCCCCAATTAACCACCAGAAAACTGGAAATGGAGATGCGGCTCAAAGTGGTAGAGTGCTAGCCTTGAGCAAATGAGCTCAAGCCCTGAGTTCAAGGCCAACAACTGACAAAAAAGTTAAATAAAATTCTTTAACTAAAATAAGCTTCAGGGGCTAGGAAGGTGGCTCAGTGGTAGAGCGCTTGCCTTGCATGCATGAGGCCCTGGGTTTGATTCCTCAGCACCACATAAGCAGAAAAAGCTGGAAATGGTGCTGTGGCTCAAATGGTAGAGCGCTAGCCTTGAGGTGAAGAGCTGAAGGAGAGCATCCAGGCCCAGAGTTCAGGCCCCATAACCAACAACAACAACAACAAAAAGCTTCATTTTATGGCCACAACTCCACAAAACTGCACCACAATTCTCAACTACCTGCTACATTTGAATTCTGGTTTTATGAACTGTGAATCTCAAAAAAGCATGGTTCTCACTCCCACTAATTAATCTTTCAATTCTCACAATAATCCTATGAAGAAGCATAAAAGGTGCTTTCGTTACTTTCTTAGAGCATTCTCTGGCTATGAATCAAAATAACTACCTGGAAATGCCAGAAAATTAACATGCAAGGACTACAAAGATAAATGCCCCAACTTTTTCCATTAAGGAATGATTGTAAAGGTGTTCTACCCAAAAAGTCTTTCACAAAGTCCCTACCAAGAACACCTGGATAATTAATGTGAGTTTGGGTAGGAAGGCAATGAGCCAATGGTCCTCTTGCCTATGGTAAGAGGTAAATAACACAGGAGCTAGTATACAGGTGCCATCTTTATTTAGCTTGTGTATGTAACATCAGTAAGCCTCTATACTCTGAAATATTTCTGACAATTAACATTATTAATAAAAACACTATTTCCTGATATCACTCAAAGTCCAAAGGACTAAATTATAGTTATATAATCTATGTATGTGTCTTAAAAAAAAAGTTATGGGCCAGGCGCGGTGGCTCACGCCTGTAATCCTAGCTACTCAGGAGGCTGAGATCTGAGAATTGCGGTTCAAAGCCAGCCCGGGCAGGAGAGACTGTGAGACTCCTATCTCCAATAAATCACCACAAAACCGGGAGTGGCGCGGTAGCTCAAGTGGTAGAGTGCTCGCCTTGAGCTGAAGAGCTGAGGGACAGCGCCCAGGCCCAGAGTTCAAGCCCCACGACCGACCAAAAAAAAAAAAAAGTTATGGGGGTTAAACTCAGCATCTGGGTACTGTCCCTAAGTTCTTTTTTGCTCAAGGCTCTCACTGTACTACTCTGAGCCACAGCTCCACTTCCACTTTTTGAGTGGTTTATGGGCGGTAAGACTCTCAAGGGGACTTTTCTGCCTAGGCTGGCTTTGAACGACAATCCTCAGATCTCAACCTCCGAAGTAGCTAGAATTACAGGTATGAGCCACTGGCACCCGGCTTATATGTCTATTCTTGATATTAAAAGTAAAACTTAATGTATGACAAAATCACAACAGAAAGGAGTTAATCTTAAAAGGAGGGGTCAAAGTATTAATATATTCCCTCTTAAAAAACAGAGGTATGGTCTATGTCTATAGAAAAAAAATACTAAAAATAGTAACAAACATACATAAAGGGAGTATATATGTAGAGAATATTTAATAAGGAAATACTATTTTGAGATATTTTGATATAACTTGTAACTAACAGAAACTATAACTAGAAGAATTTAAATAATTGCTCTGGGAAGTGGAAAAAAAGATGAATAAGAATGTAACAGGAGTCAGGCGCCAGTGGCTCACGCCTGTAATCCTAGCTACTCAGGAGACTGAGATCTGAGGAACGCAGTTCAAAGCCAGCCCAGGCAAGAAAGGCTGTGAAACTCTTATCTCCAATAAACTACTCAGAAAACTGGAAGTGGTGCTGTGGCTCAAGTGGTAGAGTGCTAGCCTTGAGCTGAAGAGCTGAGAGATAGTGCTCAGACCCAGAGTTCAAGACCCACAACCGACAAAAAAAAAAAAAAGGAGACAAGATGAAAAGTTTGCTTTCCATCTGCAAACTTTTCATTATTATCTGATTCCCAATTTGTATTTTAGCGTCATATAAATGCATTTACTGATTAATAATAAAAACAACAATAAGTATTTCTGACATTATTTCTGCTTACCAAAAAAATAAGCCGATTTTGGTCTCTCCTTCAAAAACGAGGACTCCTGTTGGGGTAAGTCCCAAACTATAGTCATTTCCATCTCTAGCCTAATTTAAAAAGAGAAAAAAGTGGCTGCTTTATTTGCTTGAAAAGATTTAACTTTGTCATTCACCTGTTTAATTTTATTTTCACACTAAGTTATATTAATTATATATTCAAACTAATGTTAACATTTAATATGTTTTAACCAATCAGTGCATCTAAAATCACATTCTCTTAAAATTTTATGCATTCTATCATTGAGACACTATGAAGTAGTCCTCTATTATTCCCAAATACCAGTGAATACCTGAAATTGTGGATAATACCAAACCATATACATTTTTCCTAAATATACATGTTTATTATGAAATTTAATGTTAGGTACAGTAAAAGCTTAACAATAACCAATAAAATAGAACAATCCTAACAATATAGCATTAATAATTATATAAATGTGGTCTCTCTCAAGATACCTTACTATTTATTTCTGGAGTTTCCATTTAATATTTTTGGACATTGGCTGACCTCCAAAAGCAAAATCATAGATAAAAGGGGACTCTGATTATTGCCAGATATGTCCTAACTGCAGAACAGTACTTATACTCCCACTTCAACAAAAGCTCTTTTCAGATTATTTCCTCTCAATTTATAAATTTTCAACATTGATTCCTGAACTATTTTAAACAGAGCTTAACTGAATACTGACAAAGTGATAAAGTTGACATGAAATAACAGAAGAATTGGGCCTGGTAGCACATAACTATAACCATAGCAAAGGGTTGATGCAAGAGGATCCCAAGGTTTTAAGGGCTTTTTATGTCTATTATTTCATAATTTTGTTTATTAAGTTATACTTGTTTAGAATAAAAAACAAAGTACAGTTGACTGAAATAAACTTTAAATACATTCAATTATTCCAAATCTACCTCCCCCAGGTAGATTGTAAAGATTCTGCTACTTATGTTTCAAGGTTAAACACACACACATTTTTGCAGAAAATAAAATCATAGAGAAGTCCTTTTATAACAAGTGATTTTTCTTCACAATAAAACATGAATGTCTGCATGTTGATGAACAATGATATAACCTTAACAACATGGAAAGTTAATCTCTACCCAGACAGATGTCAATAGTTATTTGTTTTTGTTTTGTCAATTGTGGGGCTTGAACACAGGACCTGGACACCATCTTTGAGCTTTTTTTATAAAAGGCTAGTGCTCTACCACTTTGAGCCACAGTGCCACTTCCAGTTTTCTGGTAGTTAATTGAAGATAAGAGTCTCATGGACTTTTTTTAATTAGAGATAAGAGTCTCACAGTTTCCTGCCCAGGCTGGCTTTGAACCACGATCCTCGGATCTCAGCCTCCTGAGTAGCTAGGATTAGAGGTTTGAGCTACTGGCACCAGGCCATTTTATTCTTCAGAGATTAATTTGATCTGACTTTGAATTTTTACACAGTCAACTGACAAAAATCTATTGAATACCTAATAATTTTTATATAATCATGTAGAAGGAAGGAAGGAAGGGCTGGGAATGTGACTAGGATTATAGGCATGAACAACTGGTACCCAGCTAGTAGTTAGGATTTTTAATTTTTTTTTTGAGAGGGGGGAATGTTAGTTATAGAACATGAACTCTGGGCCTGGGTGCTGTCACTCAGCTCTTCAGCTCAAGAGAAGCACTCTTCCACTTGAGCCACAGGACCACTTCCAGTTTTCTGATAGCTAATTGGAGATAAGAGTCTCATGGACTTTCTGGCTGGCTCTGAACTGCGATCCTCCCAAGAAGCGAAGACTACAGGCGTGAGCCACCAGTGCCCAGAAGTAGTTATATTTTTTAATCTAGTGTTTCCTCTCTCCTAGAGGTATCCTAGCTCAAAAGAAAAAAAAAGATAAAATGAAGTAACAAGAAAAAGTGGCTTGAAGTCTACAAAAATATTAGAGAACCTACATATTCTAGGAATTTTTATATATCTTTATTTATAATGAATCTAAGACTCTAGTCTTTCAATATTAGATCTCAACTTTTTAAAAACCACATATCCAAAGTATTCAGTTAGAGCCTATGCAAACTGCATGTGTCCTGTCCCTTGCATACTACAAAGTTGTCACCTTAAGTCTCAAAGGAAGTAATTTTTCTTTCTTTCTTTTTGGTTGGTCGTGGGGCCTGAACTCTAGGCCTAGGCGCTGTCCCTCAGCTCTTCAGTTCAAGGCTAGCATTGTACCACTTGAGCCACAGCGCCACTTCCAGCTTTTTCTGCTTATGTGGTACTGAGGAATCGAACCCAGGGCCTCATGCTTGCAAGGCAAGCACTCTACCGCTGAGCCACCTTCCCAGCCTCAAAGGAAATAATTTTTATAAAAGGTTCATGACAGCTGAGCACCTAGCTACTCAGAAGTCTGATATCTGAAGATCATGGTTTGAATCCAGCAGGGGCAGAAAAGCATCTGAGATTTTTATCTCCAAATTAACCATACAAAAATAGGAAATGGAGCCTGACTCAAACTGTTAGAATGCTAACCTCAAGCTAAAGAGCTCAGAGACAGAGCTCAGGCCCTGAATTCAAGTCCCCTGACCCACCCCCCAAAAAAAGACAACTCTATGACAAAGTGCTTACTTACTTTAACCACATGCATATCAACTCCATACATCTCAAGCCATTTGGCTTTATTCAGATAATTGGTTTCAGCTTGTGCTGGTGTCTGTCCTCTGAAATTTAAAATAATTATTAAATTAGTAGGCATAAAACTGTTAATAACTGGTTTTTATTAAACTGTTAAATAGGATAAAATGGTGTATCAAAGAAACAAAAAAATGAACACAAAATTATTGTAGTGATAAAAAAAAACTGACTAAACAACAAGTACCTGTATTCCTTCCATTTTTCAAAAATAGCCAGCTCCATCTCTTCAGTCTGAGTAGGCACAAACCTGAACTCAGAGACAAGTTCAGGACTATGTTCAGCAAGATCATAATCACCAAGTTCAGCTACAAACACAAGTTTCACAAAGTTATATGGTGTTACTACCAAGAAAATCTTACAAACATATTTTATAAAGCCAAGAGCTAGTGGCTCATGCCTGGAATCCTAGCTACTCAGGAGGCTGACATTTGAGGCTAGAAGATAGAAGCCATCCAGGGCAGAAAAGTACCTGAGATTCTTATCTCCAATTAACCATTCAAAAATGGGAAATGGAACTCTGGCTCAAAGTAGTATAATGCTAGCCTTGAGCAGAAGAGCTCAGGGACAGCTCCCAGGCCCTGAGTTCAAGCCCCACAAAACAAAACTAACAACAACAAAAAAACCAACAACAACAGAAAAACCCAACCCATTTTATAAATAAAAATTAAGATTAGCCTTAATCTTTGAAGAACTAATAATGTCTAAACCATTTTCCTATGACTTATGTCTTTTTGGGGTCTGGTCATGGGGCTTGAACTCTGGGCCTGGGCACTATCCCTCAGCTCTTCAGCTCAAGGCTAGTGCTCTACCACTTGAGCCACAGCGCCACCTCCAGCTTTTTTCTTTTTGCTTATATGGTACTGAGGAATCGAACCCAGGGCCTCTGGCATGCAAGGCATGTGCTCTACCACTGAGCCACCTTCCCAGCCCTGGTACTTTTTTTTTTTTTAATGCCATTCCTGGGGCTGAACTCAGGGGCCTAAAAACTGTTCTTGAGCTTTTTTGCTCAAGGCTACTGGCACTCTACTATTTGAGCCACAGATCCACTTCTAGCTTTTTGGTGGTTAAATGGAGATAAGCCTCACAAACTTTCCTGCCTAGGTTGGCCTTGAACAGCAATCCTTCGATCTCAGGCTCCTAAGTAGGTAGGATTATAGCATAAGCTACCAGCATCCAATTATTATTGTTATAACTTTTAATGATTTTTTTTCTTTTTTTGTGTGATTATATATTTACTTGAAAAAAGCCCTAGGGCTGGGAAGGTGGCTCAGTGGTAGAGTACTTGCCTTGAATGCATGAGGCCCTGGGTTCAATTCCTCAGCACCACATAAACAGAAAAGGCTGGAAGTGGCCCTGTGGCTCAAGTGGTAGAGTGCTAGCCTTGAGCTGAGGAGCTGAGGGACAGTGCCCAGGCCCAGGCCCAGAGTTCAGGCCCCAAGACCAGCAAAAAAAGAAAGAAAAAAAGAAAAAAGCCCTAGAAGCATACATAAGAAAACAATACAAGCCCGGTGCCAGTTGCTCATGCCTGTAATTTTAGCTACTGAGGAAACTGAGATTTGAGGAATGTGATTCAAATCCAGCCCGGGCAGAAAATCTGTTAAGACAATTTATTGCCAATTAACCACCAGAAAACCAGATGTGGTGGCACTGTGGCTCAAGTGACAGAGTGCTAGCCTTGAGTTGAAGAGCTCAGAGACAGTGCCCAGGCCCAGAGTTCAAGCCTCATGACCAACAGGAAAAGAAAAAAAAAAAAAACAATGAAAGTTTGGAGAACACACTGTGAAATAAATCCATAATTCTCTTTATTCTTAAAGATTAGATTTTGAAAGTCAATTTCTAGACTTTTACAGAGAAAAATAACTTGAACACTGAATAAAATAAAAGCTAGCAGTTCTTAAAGGTCAATTAATAATAAGTAATAATTAAGATAAACACAGAATAGTATACTATCGAATACTGTAAAATGTAGTGTCTTCCTGGAATGTAAAATTATTACCCCTAAAGAAATAACTGAGGGGCTGGGCGCCGGTGACTCACGCCTGTAATCCTAGCTACTCAGGAGGCTCAGATCTGAGGATGATGGTTCAAAGCCAGCTGGAGCAGTAAAGGCAGCAGTCCAGCTAGGGAGTAAAGGTAGTAAAGTCCATAAGACTCTATCTCCAATAAACCACTAGAACTGGGAAGTGGAGCTGTGGCTCAAGGGTAGAGGGCTGGCCTTGAGCTGAAGAGTGCAGGGACAGTGCCCAGGCCCAGAGTTCAAGCCCCACGACCAACAACAACAAAAAAAAAAAGAAGAAGAAGGAAAGAGAAGCAAAGAGAAGGAAAGGAAGAAAAAGAAAAATGAGAAAAGAGAAAGTAAAATAAATGAATGATGTACAAACATCTGCATGTTCATTTGTGCTTATATATGAACTGGGCTTAGGGAAAAAGGGAAAGCAATGTGTCCAGTTTTCTATATTTTGGAAATTTTGTTCTTCTAAAAGAATTTTTTACTTGTATCAAACTTTAAGATATTTTCATATTAATAGGAAAAAAATTCAGTTGGGGAGAGAAAAAATTACATTGAGAACTACTTTGACATAATAATTACTTAGAGTACCAAGTCTACACTGGACACTTCCTGGAAACTACTGTAGGTCAAGCTTTTATTGAAATTACAAAAATGTACAAACCATACAATTTTTTTTCTTTTTTTTGTGTGCTGGTGCTGGGCTTGAACTCAGGCCATTGTGCTGGGCTTTTTTGCTCACAGCTGGTATTCTACCACTTGAACCACATTCTAATCCAGAATTTTGCTGATTAATTGAAGATAAAATCTCAAGGACTGTCTGCAAAGCCTGATAATCCCAGCAAAATATTTTTTTCATTTTATGAAATTAGTTTTTCTTTATGCCATTTTTAGAAGACAATTTATAAGTTTAACAGTATTTAATCAACATACCGAAGTATATTGTTTAATCTCACTTACTTGAAAGCATTTTAAAATGAACATCGGGAACTTTTAAATTGTATGGAAATTTTTTCATTGACTTGTTTTTTAAGAATAAGAATAAAGAGCTGGGTGCTGGTGGCTCACACCTAGCTACTCATAATGTTGAGATCTGAAGATTGCAGTTCAAAGCCAGCCTGGGCAGGAAAGCCCGTGAGACTTATCTCCAACTAACCACCAGAAAAACCAGAAGTGGTACTGTGGATCAAGTGGTAGAACGCTTGCCTTGAGCTGAAGAGCACAGGGACAGCACGCAAGCCCAGAGTTCAAGCCCCATGACTGACAAAAAAAAAAAAAAAAAAGAGTAAGAATAAAGAAAGCAAACTATGTGATGTGACTGCCGAAATAATTTATACAGACAGTGTTTCACTATTTTTAAAGGAAAAAAATTAGAAGACTAAAGATAATAATTTACTAAACTATTAGGTAGACTTTAACTTTCATTTGAAAACATTAGAGATAGAAAGGGGATACAGAAATGAAAGGGAAGAAAAAGAAGACAATCTTCCAGGCAAAAGGATACTGATACAAATTTACAGAAAACTGTGTTTCTCTTCTGATACATCATGAATCTTCTGAAATTCTTTAACAAACACAAAAAAAGCATTATGTTTTATTCTTAACAATCAGCACAAAATTTGCTTACCTTGAAGATTATAAGCTGCCAACTGCACTGCTGTTTCGAAGGGACACTCTAATCTGGGATCAAAATACAAATTAAGTCATTCATTTTTCAATAAATGAAAATATACAAGTCACATTGACCATTTGTTTTTCCTTATTACAAAAACTAATTTCAAAATCATTTTCCAACTACCAAAGACAATGTGCTAAATAATTATGATACTCACTTTCCACTGAGAATATCTTGTTTTAACTGAAGAACAAATAAATACCTAAGAAAATTAAATGCACAAGTTAACTTAATGGAACCATCTGCTGTGAAAAAATCTTATCTAAATTGAGAGTATCCTTGATTATAGAATTTTACTCACAATGAAGTATAAATATTTTATTTTATCCACAATAAAGGAAAAATAATATAGAAAAAAATGTACTGACTAACAGAGGGGTAGAATCATGACCACAAAACAACAGGCCACAGAGTAGAATACAACAAAACTTAAAAGAAAATGTTTGAAAGATATTATGAGAATGAGCTCTGCGACCTAGTTTAACTTTGAGAACATTTCTACCTCATCTGTGAAGAGATACATTTTGGGTATAATTCTAGGTAACAGCCCCAACCCCATGGTGTGGTAGGTAACTCAACTTTTTCACTTAGTGAAGATTATTAGTGCATGGAGTTACGCATATACGGCACAAAATAATAAATATCAAGGAGGCAGGACAAAATAAATGTATATAATCTAAAATTTATTACAAGCTACTTATCTAAACTATGATCTAAAATTTTAATCAATCAATGTTACTTAAGGGAGTAAAGAAAGTTAAGGCAGGTGCTGGTGGCTCACACCTGTAATCTTAGCTACTCAGGAGGTTTTAAGCCAGCCCCAGCAGGAAAGTCCATGAGACTCTTAACTCCAATTAACCACCTGAAAACTGTATGTGGCACTGTGGCTCAAAGTGGTAGAGCTGAAGAGCTGCTCAGGGACAGTGCCCAGGCCCAGAGTTCAAGCCCCAGGACCGGAAGAAAAAAAAAGGAGCCAATCTGAATGAACTCCCAGGTAGATTTGAATGTAAATAAGTATATCATTATTAACATTTTACTAAATCCTGTTTAGAATCTATGAGTTGAAAACAATATATACAAAAAGAACTCTGAGATCTAAGGACAGAGGTTCAAAGCCAGCCTGGGTAGCAAAGTCCTAAGACTCTTATCTCCAATAAACTACTCAAAAAATTGGAAGTGACACTGGAGCTCAAGTGGTAGAGTGCTAGCTAACCTTGAGCTGAAGAGCTGAGGGGCAGCTCCCAGGCCCAGAGTTCAAGCCCCATGACAAAAAAAAAACAAAAAAACTCACAAGACTCTGAAGCCACTTTAGGATAATTCTAAGGAAACAATTTTAATTTGAAAACCAAAAAAAAAGAACATAAAACATACAATTTAAAAATACTATTCTAGAATAAAATCCTATTATCTGAAGGCATATTACCAGGGACAAGGAATATATTGCATTAGTTGTCTATAAGTGGGAAATAATTCTAAAGACAATTTTCTAAACTACCAAATTACTCACATACAACTCTTGAGAATGGTCTTACCGAGTTAATTCTTCACGAAGATTATTTGGTTCCGAGGAATAAAACTTAACTCGAAGATGCAGACAATAAGGTGAACCAACTGTCATTTAAAAAAAAGGGGGTAACTTTGTTAAAAATTACTTAAGTGGGCCAGAAGATAGGAGGTTACTGTGCTATTATTTCAGAGCAAATCATCAGTTTAAATTGTACATTAAAAAAATTGTACACAAAAAGAGCAGTCAAGTTCTAAAATATACAACACATTCACAATCTATTATTTCAGGATAGCTCTAAATTAATCCTAATAGTTTAAGGTCGGACATAGCAAATAAGTCTTAACTATGCAATCAAACAGCTCTAAAAACCTGCTGCGCTGTATTTCTTCAGAGCTCTGAGGAATGTCCACATTAATAATCACTCAAGGCAAAGCATCCCACACACTTTCAAACACACTGAGTGAGTTTGCTAGCCTCTACATTCTCAGTGCTCCCTGCCTCATAATTTTATAGACAGGAGTTGGGTTGTCCTGAAATGTGACCTGACTCTATAGAGAACAAGTTAGACTATGGATTGGACACAGGTGTTTTCCTTGACTACTGCTAGGCAGGCAATTTACCACTTGAGCCATACCTCCAACCCTTTACTGACATTTTTATGTGAATTGTTTCATTTTACTATTCTTAATTAAAAATAGTTATAGATTTAAAATCTGAAAACATTTTCCAGAGCAAGGTAGATGCTTAACAAAAACTTTCAACACGAGTAATTGCTAAATAAAAGTTATGTATTTTGTGGAAAGTAATTTTATTTGCAAGCTAAAAAAATTTTTATCTTGTACATTTTTCTATTATAAGGCTCTTGAATCAAGATTCATATCTGAGGCCAGCCTGGACTACACATTAAGACTAAACCTCAAAAACAAGCAAACAAGGAAAGAATTAGAGATGATAAAATACTCATCTAAAACATGCTTGTTACTATTCTTACTTTGAAGCTTATCTTATATGTTTCTAATACATTAATTTTCTTTTTCCCCCCAACAAATACTTCAACACTTACTTTTGACTTGTTTTTTGATGCTTTTTGTACCATCCAACCAATGCTGTAAACAAGGGACAAAAAAACTCAGTAGTTAAGCAAATGACAGAATTTTTAAAAACTTTAGTTCCTAAAACTTATTCTTCAGTGTTTTCTTTCTTTTGGGCAATCACGGTGAAATATTTCACAAAGGAAAATCCAAAGTGAATGAATGAGGGCAAGAACAAAAGTGAGATGTCTCTGTGTTTAGGGCAAACTTATACATAACAAAAAGACCAAAGCTTGATATGGGATTTTAAAAAATTTCTTCTGGCTAGAGGTGTGGCCCAAGTGATAGAGTACCGGCCTATACAAGTGCAAGGCCTTCCCTTATTTGCAATATCTAGTATATATGTCTGAGTCAAGCAGAAAAGGTCAGATAAGGTGATGTTAGGGAAATGAACCCTAAGATATGTATTCAAATTTTTTTCTTTCATG